GGCTTACGACAAAATTGGGACAACACTCTAAGGACGTCGCTGCAAGCAGCTACTAAATCTTCAGTTTTGTTTTTCTCTTACGAGGATTTTCTTCTTTAGTATTTGTGTTTTTTGATACCTTTTCTCCCCACATTCTTTCTCTTTCTCTCTTTCTTTGTTTATGGTCATGGAATCTCTGTTTTACCTAACAGTCGTTCATTAATTAGTGAACCTTTTTCCGCCTCTGCGCTGTATTTCTTGCAGCAGGTACACTTTGTTGTACACTAATTTAATTTTCTACTGTTTTATTATTGCCATCTCTAGTACTCCTTGTGTCCTTCTCGCGTGATTCCGCACTTGCGTCTTCAGGCGAGACCGGATTGATTGAAACAGATGTCGCGTGCGGTGTCGTAAGGTTGTAGAGCTGGCACCAACTGTATATGGCAGCCCTAACAAAGACATGTGACAAGGGTGGCAAACAAGAAATCTATAGTGAGAGAAAAAGTGAGTAAAGCAAAATAAAAACGGAAGTTTGAACAAGTTGTACCCTATTCGCTGGGATCGATGCAGAAAGAAGCCTCGAAAGATGGCGGCTGCGACAAAAGTTTAAAAAGGCGGTGCAACACGTTTCCAAGTAATCGCCAAATGACTTCGATACACGTTTAATGTCTTGTGAATAGAGTGCCGCACCGAGTTTTAGAATCCTGCAAGTACAGCCGCGGCCACATCTGTGTAGAGCACGCGAGCCGTCGGTTCTTCCTCTGTGGCACGGAACCTTGAGGGAGTATCGGGCTCTGACGCGGTCAGCCTGACAACTACACCACGCATGCTCCTGATACACCACTTCAGAGCCCGAGAGTGCCTCAAGATTTCACGCAGCCGGGCGGGAACCGGCTGCTCGCGTGCTCAACACGAACGTGACCGCGGCTGTACGAGCAGAGTCACGGGGATTTGTGGCACGCTTTGAGCGCTTTCTCTGTCCTTTCGTACCAGCCCACGTGCTGAAAGTACGAGAACGGAGAAGGAAAGGGTGACAAGGGAGCAAGAAGCTACATCATTCGTCAGCGTGATTCATCACCTTGAGCATTTCCCTATTTTTTTATTTGGGGACATGGTTTGTATTTAGTGGGATCCTGAGTGAACTAGCACGTGGGCACGTCACGTGATTTCGCGGCCGAAGCTCTAACTATACAACACACGATTCTCACATGAGACAACGGCCATGGTATTTGTGCTTATGATGCGGTCACTTGAGTTTGTAGCATCATTTCTGGAGAGAAGAGCGAGCGGTTTGAACGGTGAAGCTGTTCGAGAAATCGTTCCTTGAGAGTCGATCCAAGAAAACTGTCATCATCTTAACGGGCTTGCGCCATCGCGTGGCCTATCCGAAAAATTATTATCACGAAAGGGCACATGCCACAGAAATAGGAAAACTCCAGCTACTCACCACTGGTGAGCTGAATATGAAGAAGGCTACAATAAGACCAACAAACAGCTGCGATGAGACATCTGCAAGCCCAAGACTCCGAGTGTGCACAGCAAAAGAGTGCTAAGTAACGAGAAAGGCAAATGGCAACTGGGAGAATACCTCCAAGAAACAGAAGGCTTACGCCAATGACGACGGGAACCCGTAGATCTGTGATGGGTGCGAATATTAGAAGAGGTGTCTGGAGTTTCAACAAACGGGTCGTTTCTGCGACCGTCTGTGGTTTAACTCTGATATCTCTGCGCTGAGAACTAAAGTAGTAACAGCTCAGTATCATCTATTCCAAAGCCTAGACACAGGCTATAAGCGACGTTGAACCTAGATCAGGCTTGCTGAGGCCTAGAAACTATCTAAAATCAACAAGTTTGGTCTTCAGGATCATCTACTTTCGCTGATTCAAGACTTGTGTGGCTCAGTGTAAGCCTCACGATGTTTTTTTAACCATTTTGAGAACTCATTGTAAATATCAAGCTTCTCACTTGTTGTGCTGGACTGGTTTGTTCACATTGTCCCGGAAAGCCTCCGTTTACCTGATCGGCAGCGTTTTTTTTTTTTACCGTGCTCAAGAAGCGTTGCAGTGACCCTTTAACTTATACTTAAAGTATATATTATCGCGCAGACACTGCGTTCAGACTTCGGCGCAACTCCACGTACAAATGAAAGCTTTATCTTGAGAATTAAATTTATTTATTACTTTCTGAAAACAGCTGTCATGTAATTCTGTGTCAGAGAATTTTCTTTCTCGCTTGAAAGAACGGCTTGCTCGTACCCGTGTCTACTGATTGAAACGAAGTTGATGCCGTCAAAGCGAAGAGGCTCATTTAAAAGTCTCCCGCGACAACCTTTCTTCGCACTCGAGAGATCCTCGACAAAAGTGCATGGCTTGGAGAAGAATTTGGTTGATTTTGTTTATCTCCATAACAGCCTCTCTATCATTCGGCTAAAGCAGCCTGCCCTACGTGCCGTTGTTTACAAGTGCTCTATACGCTGAAGAACAAAACAAAACGATATAATCTAGTAAATTCAGTACGGGGAGAGGTTTCCTTCATATCGCGGAAAAGAATATTTTTTGCACAAGTGCGTACCAGAAGGGCCCCGGTGTCTGCAAAGCGCTTACCTCCAGAGCCACGACTTCAGGCTGCCAACGCAGTGCAGCGAAAACAAGTTGAGAAACCCGAGATTTAAAATAAACAATAGAGATGACGAAAAAAAAAACAATCCCACCTGTTCCAAATTGTGAAATCTGTCCAACCTGCATAGCAGAGCTGAGGATTCGTCCGTCTCTTATGACGCATGATGTGTGTTCAAATCGAAGCTGCGAGTTGGCCTGTCTCCGATGGCGCTCTGCCTGCGTCAGAGTCTTGCAATGCTGATGATTACCTCGCATTCATCTGCATTTCGCCTCCGTCTTTCTCTTCCTTAAATGAGCAGAAAATATAAAGAGTGCTCTTAGTTCAGATCGATGAACTGCACTCGGGGAACTCCAATGCTTTACGTTTCACTCTGATAAGTTCGTTATTTGCGGAGAAAATTAGAGGTTGAAGTTTCATTTCTAAACTTCGCGCCGAAATCTCTGCGCGTGACGTCCTAACTTTTAAAGTGTGTTTTTCGTGTTTTCGCGACGTTATCTCAATTAAAATTTCAGAAGCAACGTATGCTGGGTCTATGGCACCCACAGATGACAACCTACTGCGTTTTATATATTAGAAGCTGTGAAGGACACAGCAGACCCCTTAAAATTTTATGACGTCACGGTGTTCGGTGCGCTAATCTCAAGGTGACGTCCCCCCATCCGCATTTTATTTTCGCGCGTTTTCTTGCTTACGAAGCGTCGTCCCGCGGCAAGAAGGGTGTCTGCAGTACTGTTAAATGGGGTTTTACTATTACGCGAAATATATTTTTTTCTCTATAACACCCCTTGAAATCTGTCTCCAACTCTCGGCGCGGGCGTTTTGTTAAACGCTTCGATAGTTAACACAGATAAAGTATTCCTTCGATGGCGCACGCGTTTACTGGCGAGATATTGCTGGTGGTTCAAACTTCTAAGCGTTCTTGGCTGAAAATGAAATCCTTTATTTGATATGCGATGGTGCACTCTCTTGACCTATTTAGGTGTCGACTTGAATGTAGAGCCCTTTTTAGACGTATTACTACGTCAAATCGACCTGTGGCTCTCTCTTTTGGGCTATTTTTAGCACTTTTCAAATGACTCCAAGCGATGACCTGAAACAACAGCGCCCCCCCCAGTAACCTAAATACGTACTTAAATATGAAAACAAAAGCGATTGTTGGCAGCAGGATGACGCAAGGACGTTAGAACAAACGCGCTTTTCAGTGGCGTAAGAATCCCATTTATCAATGCTGTGTTACGAAAGCAAGTTCTAGCTTTTCACAGCGAGAAAAAAAATACATATAGAGGAGAAATGAAGTTTGATGCCGAAAAGACAAGTTCAAGAAGTGGGGAGTGTCCTACGCTTCTTTTTTTTTTTGTAGTGTTACTTGTGAGGAAGCTCTGGCGATATCTGACGTCATCCAGCTCGACTCTTCCAAAGACCTGTCGCAACGGTTATTCCAGCACAAGAAGCTTCAAAAACGGAAACCTTCATATATTTTTGTACGAAGTACTCGAAATCATCACACTTTTTCGAAAAACAAATATTTTTCCACCTCGTAAACTTCTTTTTTTTCTGTATTCTAGCGGGATTACTTTTCAAGGAGAACATGGCAGTTTTAATTTAACGGCTAAATTATGCGTGACATTTTGGGAACTTTTTTCAGGAGCTCTAGTTTAGTGGGGTTTAGTAACCACTGCTTCAATCTATACCAGTCCCATGTACTACTTAATTTAAAAATAAAAGATATTATTATTATTATTATTATTATTATTATTATTATTATTATTATTATTATTATTATTATTATTATTATATTGACCATAGTTAGAAGGGCAGTGGGTCAGCGGTTTGTTTTGCAACCAATATGCGCAGAATGGTGCATGAAATATATAGCCTATCAAGACCATTGCGACTACCCTGATGAAATGAATGTCTGGTACTAATCTGCGGGAGCTGTGGGGGCATTGTTTTTTTCCGTGTCTTTCTGAAAAATGTTTTACAGCTACCTTTTGTTGACAGAAAGTGCTCTTCATTATTCTTTCAAGCAACGTTTTGCGAGCACGAAAAAAAACGTTATTGTTGTTGTTGTTGTTGTTGTTGTTGCTCTTGCTCTTGTTCTTGTTGTTGTACTTGTTGTTGTACTTGTTGTTGTTCTTGTTGTTGTCTTGTTGTTGTACTTGTTGTTGTTCTTGTTGTTGTCTTGTTGTTGTACTTGTTGTTGTTCTTGTTGTTTTCTTGTTGTTGTACTTGTTGTCTTGTTGTTGTCGTCCTTGTTGTTGTACTTGTTGTTGTACTTGTTGTTGTACTTGTTGTCGTTGTCATTGTCATTGTTGTCATTGTTGTCGTTGTCATTGTTGTCGTTGTCATTGTTGTCGTTGTCATTGTTGTCGTCGTCGTCGTCGTCGTCGCTGTTGTTGTTGTTGTTGTTGTTGTTGTTGTTGTCGTCGTTGTTGTTGTCGTTGTTGTTGTCGTTGTTGTTGTTGTTGTCGTTGTTGTTGTTGTTGTTGTTGTTGTTGTTGTTGTTGTTGTTGTTGTTGTTGTTGTTGTTGTTGTTGTTGTTGTTGTTGTTGTTGTTGTTGTTGTCGTCGTTGTTGTTGTCGTGTTGTTGTCGTTGTTGTTGTTGTTGTCGTTGTTGTTGTTGTTGTTGTTGTTGTTGTTGTTGTTGTTGTTGTTGTTGTTGTTGTTGTTGTTGTTGTTGTTGTTGTTGTTGTTGTTGTTGTTGTTGTTGTTGTTGTTGTTGTTGTTGTTGTTGTTGTTGTTGTTGTTGTTGTTGTCGTCGTCGTCGTCGTCGTAGTCGTCGTCGTCGTCGTCATCTACACGTAGTGTGCAAGTGCGTGTTTTGCTCAGTAATGTAATGCTATGCTATGCTATTTTGTAACGAAAGCGTGGCAGGCGGTACTGTTCACCCCTACGTTTCCGTATTGATCTCGCACAGCGCTTTCATTTATTATTTCATTCACGTGCTTGACCTTGGGTCACATTTTATACCGTCTCACGGTCGATGTACTACGCATCCGGTTGAACGTCGGCGTTGGTCACCTCGCCGTCCAAGGTCGTTGCAGTCGTTGCCCACTGCCAGGGCCAACACGGCAGCACCGAACGGCAATATGGGAAATAAAAGAGGGAGAAACAGCGTCTAACGATGCACTTGACCGTGACGGGCTGCAGGCTTCGCAGAAAAGGTGCAGGAGACCGCCATGGCAGCACGGCTTTTTTTTCACGCACCGCATGACCGTGATATAACGACACGTAGTGACGTAGTGCGCAAAACTGCCAGGCTGCACTCGCTGACCTTTGGATCGATGGATCTTGTGGGTGGACATGCACCCTGGTATAGAAAGGCATGGCTAAGAATACGCAAAGGAGACACCTGAGAAAGGCGCGTGTGCTGTACTCTTAATCAGGTCCACGTTAAGAGCTGGCTATCAGAAAACTAGACGAAAGATGTAAGAATAGCAGACTGGGCTTGTTGGTTTAACATATTTGCAGCTTAAGGCGCGAAAACGACACGGACGAAGAGAGACAGTACACACACACGGAGCGCTCCGTGTGTGTGTACTGTCTCTCTTCGTCCGTGTCGTTTTCGCGCCTTAAGCTGCAAAGACGAAAGATGTCCGGTTTTCTGGCTACATCTTGCCCTTCAATCGGGACCTTATTACAAGTGGAGATTATCTTTGGGAATATGATTATGAAGTGTATTGCTTGCGGAATCGCTATCAGTTTCGCGATGCTTTTCTCAAACTCCTTGACCCAGGGTTTAGAGTTAACGCTTCACGTACAAAACACGTACGCGAAAAGAAAAATGCAAGAGAACATACAGCATTCTGTTGCGATGCAACTTTAGGGTTGGTGTCCCGCCGGTGTATTTCTTGCCATGAGCTCGGTGGATTTACGCGCCAATACTAGAATATGATTACAAGGTACGACATAGTTAAGGGGCTCTGCGAATTTCGACCACCCCAAATTCACAAACATGCACCTGAATCTGAGTAGAAAGGCCGCAGTGTATCTCTGATAACGTGAATCTATCGAGCTATTCACTGTATGCTGCTATAAAGTTAAATAACTTGAAAGAGATGCGTGACAGTTGGGCCTGTCTGCATAAAAATATAAAAAAAGGGCCATCGGGGCCTCTTTACTTGCGGTATGCGCTTTGATTTCACCATGAAGTAATTTCTTTTTTGAAAAAAATGAAAATGCCGAACACTGTGTAGGCGTCGCATGGTGCCCTCCTCCGTAACGGACAACCTTCGTCGCACAGGTCAACCACTTGCTTTCTAGCATGCAGTCTTTTTTGTTTTAATTATATGAACAAGTGTGCTGGAACTATAGTCGCAATCGTTTGCATACAAAATTTAGTGCTTGCCGTTATTTTATAATGACGTTTTTCTTGTATTATGAACATTTTTTTCATTGAACACTTTAGGCGCGCATGATTTTTATAATGTGTCTGGATGTGTTTAGGTGCCTCACTTCACGCGACATACCTTTACTACTAATGTTTAACTTCTTTAATTTGTTAACGCAACAGGGGAAAGATACAGTGTTGCGTGCGTCAAGCCGACGCGTAAGAATAAAATAAGCTCATTTCTTACATCGTGAACGTTGTTGCTGCAATAGAGAGAGAGATAAAGATGCAAGAAAAGGCAGGGAGGTTAACCAGACGCACATCCGGTTTGCTACCCTGCACTGGGGAAGGAATAAAGGGGAGAAAAGAGGTTGCAGAGAGATGAGAAGGTACACACAATCACGAGCACACTCGGGGAGCACACACAGTCTACAGGCGGTCGCTCAGGTTTGTTGACTTTAGGTAAAGTAGCAGTGCTTTAGTTGCTTTCTGCGCAACTGAAGCAGATGCCCAAGGTCCTAGTATCTTTTGCACACGAAATGGTCCGGGGTCAAGTTGATTCAAAACCATCCGGAGCAGGCATCGCTGTGTGTCGTAGCAAGCACAGCTGCACAGGACGTGTTCGATGGTCTCTTCAGCTCCGCAGTAGTCGCATGTAGTAGTGTCTACCATACCAATGCGAAAGGAGTACACCTTTGTAAATGCTACAACTTTCCCGCTCCGGTGCGACACTCTTATGCCGCTTGTGGTTGTTCCTGCAATAAGTTCCTGCAAAGAACATGACCTGGTACTGACAGCGCAGCCATGGTTAGACGAGTGGCCATAACCTTCCCTCAAGCGATTTAATTCAATATAAAGGCTTGAACACACCACGATGGTGTTACAGTTACTGCGCTCGGCTGCTGACTCCGAAGATCGCGGGTTCAATTCAATTCGATTCTTTATTTGCAAACTGTGAAACATACAGAAACATCACGACTGGTTGGACTCATAGCCGAAGGCTAGTTCGATCCTTGCCGTGGTGGTCGCATTTCAATGTAGGCAAAATGCCATAGAGCCCCGTATTTTGCGATGTGAGTGCACGATAAAGAACCCCCAGGTAGTCAACATTTTCACTACGGCATACCTCGTGGTCATATCGCGGTTTCGACACGTAATCAATACCCCAGATAATTTATAACATTGCTACGCACAGGCCTTCCAGGCGCCACTGTTTCTTGTATACGAATCTTCTTATTTTATTATCAGCATTCATCGAATCTTCTTTCAGCACTCTTCTTTTCTAGTGTTGAGTATTATGCAGGCGTAAACTACAGCCCACACCGAAAAGTGCGTTTTTTTTTGTTGTTTTTTTCTACAGCGAGAGCTGTTATGGGTCTCGCGCAGCGCCATAGTTGTCTGCTGCTGCCGCCGCCGCCACCGCCGCCGGTGTCCGTAACCACATCGCGGGAAATGACAGAAAAACCTAGTACCAATAACACAGCGGAATTCGAGCCCGGGTCCACTGGGTGCCAGCCAGTATTCTACCACTGAGCCATACTGGTGCTTCAAACTTGTTGACAAACTTGCCTTAGACAGACTTAATTTCGGGAAAGAAACCGCGTTAACTACAGCTTATAAAGCGTTTTAAAAGAGCGAAGGAACAACCACTCATCACACAGTGCGAATAGAGTAGCGAGTGGGTCGATCAATGCTCCAACCCATTCAAAAAAGCTTGTTTTTGTTCAGCTATTAACTGTGGCGCATACCCACTTCAGGAATGATTCCAGATCGTCATCAGCCACTACATGAAGAATTGGCACACAATTCCTCGCAATAGTTTAGTGGATACCACGTCTCTCAGAAGAATGACGAAAAATAGCATAGCAAATGCCGGCCTACTACTCTCAAGTTTTTATTATTAATGCCGTAGTGGGCATCAAGCAAGTCGGCTTGCAGAAATATCCAATGAGTGTTTAGAAAAGGCTCTGAAAGGCCTCTCTTCTAGCTTTCGCTGTGACTGGGCTGCGCCTTCCGCGCAGGCCTGGCGTTTTTTTTTCTTTCAGGTAAGTTTTTATCTCTCTCTCTCTCTCTCTCTTCATCTTTTAACTGAAAAGCAATAAGTTTAAGTTCCGTATCTTTACTTTTCTATCTCAAGCTGAGAAGCCAACGGCAGTCGTTCTGGATTCCCGGCTGCTACTGCTCCTGTATAAAGAATCAGCGAAAGAAGGTCAAATAAAATGATCATTTCGCTGGTTGTTATTGTGAGGAGTCTTTCGTTTCTTTTTTTTTTCAGTTTTCTTTCTTCCCGCGGCGGCCCTCGTATCGTATGACTGTCAAACGCTCAAGTGGGTTTTATGCTGCGTCGGCAGGAGAAGTAAACCAGGCATTGCGAAGCGTTTCCTTCTAAATATGGGCAGGCACGAGCTGCATGCAAATAAAATAGCGGGTATTCCTCGATTCGTTTATGGTGGGCAAGCGCCAAGCGGGTGCTATAGCAGCGAGTTTCATAATTTATTGCGGAGTTGCGCTACACCTAACGGTAGCGGCGCGCATGTTACTTGTATTGTTGGCATGCTGGAAAATGTTCGTTGTTTGGTCGTATATATTCCTGCACAAATACAAACCATGTTTCCTGTTGCCCTACTTGCGAAACTCTTTCTGAGTATTGACCAAGCGTTACCCAATACCACGAGCTCGTAAACGCAAGACCGACTGGAGGGAAAAGGCGTTGTAGCAAGCAACCATGGGGTTCTAAATTACCCGCATGCTACCAACACTTCAAAGGTGAGGTAGTGTAGCTTTAATCATGAAAGTCTAATATACGGATAGTATGTCAACTGCAAGAAGGAGGTGTGGAACTTTCTTGATACCTAAAACGCGCGATGGTGGTCTATTGCTTATGATCCTCGACAGGTTGTCCAAAGGTAAGGGGAGCGAATCCCAGCCGTGGCAGCCGCATTTTCGATGGAGACCAAAATTATCAATGTCATGTACTTAAATTTCGGTGCATGTTAAAAAACCTCAGGTTATCGAAACTTCCAGAGCACTCCCCTACGGCGTGCCTCATAATCATATCATGGTTTTGGGACGCTGCACCCTAATATTTATTATTAAGTTCTTTATACGGAAAAAGGCTTTGCCATCTGCGGCGATGAAGTACAAAAAAGCAGAACGGCGCGTCTTTTATTCACGACGACTGGCGCATGACGTTTTCTGACCTAATGTGCTGAAACAATAGCACTATCAACCGCGGATTGATACCGTTACCCTAACAAAAAATAAAAATGGAAACAGACGGCCCTCGTATATATGTTCTCATGACAAAATAAAACTTTCGCCGTCGCGAGGAAATGCGAACTATAGGCTTGTGGAAACAACTTCCTGCTTTGGCGACGAAACTTGTCGCTGAGCTACGAGTTTTGGTCGTAGAACGGTAAAAATTCCTGCCTTCAAGCAATGAA